GCCCCAGCCTTACCCTCAACAGCAAAGCTACACCCAGACGGCCACAGTACCTTCCTAAGATCTAAAACTTAAAGATGACCCAAATCACCCATGGTCGAACCTGCACCTCCCATCCAGGTGCGTCAACTTTGCCTCTATGTTTCGTTTTTCTCTCTTCTTTTTGTCACAGTCAGGTGCTTGTTCACGGAGCACACCCTGCGTGCCTGGCATGCACGGGAGGGCTGGGTTCTGGGGCCTCTAAGACACGCAGGGTCTGGCCCTGCCCACAGAGGCCTACTGGCCTGGTGAGAGAAACTGTGGTATCAACAAGCACTGGGGATACAGTGGGACGCGGGAGACAGCCAGAGGCCGCGTAAGAACAGGAAGGAGAGAGATGACTCCACCAGGGAGGCCAAGGCTCGCTGCCCAGAGGTGAAATCTGACATTTGGAAGCTTCTAGAGGAATTTGCCGGCCAGACAGTAGAAGGGCCTTTGGAGCAGGGAAGAGAGCATGCGGCAGAGGTGCAGAGGGTGTGTGTGTTTGTGTGCGCATGTGCTGGGGGCCAAGGGCCTCTGTGGACAGGCAGGATGAGAGGCTGAGAGGGGGCTGGGGCCTGGTCTCATCATGAGGAGCCTTGGGGTCCCTGCTGTGGAAACCCTACGTGACTCCTTAAGCCCAAAGGGAGGCAGGGAGGGTTAAGCAAATGAATGACCACATCAGACCCGCTTCGGATCCCAGTGAGGCGAGTGCCACCCCCAGCTCTCTCCCGATGAGAACGCCAAGTGGGACAGCTTGGAAAGAAGGAAAGACTGGGCATTGTGCCCCTGGAGCAGCCGGCTGGATGGGGAGAGCAGCAGGGTCCCAAAGGCCACCACCTGGGCTAAGAGATTTTACGTCCCTTGAGGACATAACCAAGGTCTGGCAGAGCCCTCTGGCGATGGCCAGCACTGACTGGATCTCTCAGGATCCCTGGGAAGTGCTGGGAGGTCAGTGCTCCACGGAGCCAAAGATGGGGCAGCACACGGGAAACACGTGCCGTCCTCCTGAGGTGGGGGGTGACGGCCGTACCCCAGTATGATCATGGGAGCCGACGGGGAGGCCCCCCTTAGGAAAGTCACAGCAGCAGAGAGAACCCCGCCTCCCAGCCCCAGCGCCCAAGGAAGCTGCCGGACAGCAGAGTGAGCACAGGAAGGATCCAGTCAGTCGGTGGCTTCCAGCAGATTGCTCTCTGCACACTCGTGAGAAAAGCGTTCTAAGGACTAAGTGCCTACAACGGGGAAAACCGGGCTCCTTCCTGTACTACTCACTACCGTCGCTGCTGTCACCACTGTCACCGCCACCACTTCCACCGTGGGATGCAAAGCGGGGTTCGCCCCGAAGCGGCAGCCGTTACTGCTGTGCCATTACCACGCAGGGACCGAGGTGGTGGGGACCCCGCCATTACCACGCAGGGACCGAGGTGTTGGGGACCCCGCGGCCTGTGGGCTTGGTTTCCCTTAATGCAGGCTGCAGAGGTACAGCCCTTCCCCGCGGGAGCCTGAAACGACGGGCTTGCATCCGCTATGACGTGCCAAGGCTGCTGGCCCCTGACTGACTACAACAGAGCGCGTACCGGGTCCCCGCGGAGGCAGAGGCCGCTGTGTCCAGAGCCCCGTGGCAGCTCTCGTGGCACTGCACCAGGCACACGCTGTCGCTCACGTTCTTGTCGCATTTTGTGGCATCTGCTGCTTCCCTTCCGCCCAACAAGTGGCAGTCTCCCCCGCTCACACCCAGGCTGCTCAGACCACCCCACTCGGTGGACAAGGATGGCTGATCTCAGAAAACTCGGTTATTGGGCGCCTTGGGGATGTCTTTTTTTTTTTTTTTTTTTTTTTTTTTTTTTTTAACTTATTTACTTGAGAGGGAGAGCAGAGAGAGAGAGAGAGAGAGAGGTCTTCCATCTACTGGTTTACTCCCTAAGTGGCTGCAACGGCCAGAGCTGGGCCAATCCGAAGCCAGGAGCCAGGAGCTTCTTCCGGGTCTCCACCTTGGGTGCAGGGGCCCAAGGACTTGGGCCATCTTCTACTGCTTTCCCAGGCCACAGCAGGGAGCTGGATCCGAAGTGGAGCAGCCAGGTCTCGAACCAGCATCCATATGGGATGCCGGCACTACAGGCGTCAGCTATACCTGCTGTGTGACAGCGCCAGCCCTGGGATGTCTTATAAGAGAAAGGCGTTGGGGTAGGCCTTGTGGCACAGAGGGTTAAGCCGCTGCTTGTGACAGCCACATCCCATATCAGATGCCTGGGACCCGGTCTCGCCCCTGCATTCATCCAGCTGCCTGCTACTATGCACCTTAATTTCTGTGTCACTCTGCCCTTCAAGTCAATAGAAGTAATAAACTTAAAGAAAAGGCGGCATCATTTGCAAAAACCTAGAAGAGGATTCTTCACTTTGTACGCCTGCACGTCACATCCGGTCTACCCAGCGGAAGCTAAAGCAACACAGAAGTCCTCAAACTTGAACATGGATTAGAATCATCAGCCCCAGCCCACCTACACCCTTCAGCATCCAACCACGTAGAGTAGGGCCCGGAAATCTGCATTGCAGCAAGCACCCCTCAGCACCCCTGCCTCGCATGCTTCCAGCTCAGTCACAGCACAGACTCCGAGAACGCTTTTGTAACCCGTAGGCCTCGGCGAGCTCAGGCCTGGGGGCAGAGGATTCGGATTTCTCTATCTCCTGGCCCCCTAAAGCAGGCCTGCAGGAGGTCTTAAGTTCTGTGGGCCTCAGTTTCATGAGGCGTAAAACCAGGATGGATAAAATCCAAGAGGCAGGAAACAGAGGGGTGGTTCCAGGAGCTGGGGGAGGGGCGTCAGAGGGGCTCCAAGTTCCCATTTTTGCAAGACGAAAAAGTTCTGAGATGCACTCAAACACCGCCTCACTAGGCACATCAACGTGGCCAAGATGGTGCATTTGTCCATGTCCTTACCACAATTAAGAAAAGGAAGAGGGAAAAAAAAAAATGCGTTCTTAACGGGGATGGATAACAGTATCTACTTCAAGTGTGCCTATTTGTATTTATTTTGTTACATGAAATAAAGCGTGTAAATTCTCAGGTACAGGCTGCAGGACTATTAACTGCTTAAAAAATATTACAGCTATTTTTATTGTAGTCACGGCTGTTAAGGTATTCAACCATGAATAAGTTACCATTTAGAGGCATTTTAAACCAAATTATAGTCTGAGTCTCCCAGCTGATGGACGATGCCCGTGCTCTTTGACATGCTACGCCAGCGTTCCAGGCAGCGTTGGGCTGTGAAACCGAAATTTGCTGCGAGCTGTTCGTTAAGGCTGATTTCAGATCCTCCCCGCCGATCCAGGAGCTGTGTGACAAAGTGCAGTTTTCCAAACCCTGAGCAGCTCATGTTCCTCGCACAGGCCCACACGGGAAACAGTCACAGGTTGATACCGGGAAGACGAGGGGATTGGAATCTCCACGCGCAACTCCTCCAGCTGCAGCGAAGGCGGCAACAGAACAAAAATGCCAGGTTTGCTTTCGGATTTCAGGTGCATCTAGGCTGAGTCCGTTCCCCTGCCTGCGATGGAAGCTTCACAGGACGGAGCCGTGAGCACTCGGGGTGCGGATAACCCAGGGGCCTTTGGTCCTCCCCATTCACCCCAATGAGAAAACGAGACTGGCGCCTTGTAAACCCGCACGAGACCCGCAGCCTGACCCCCGGAATGCTGACTCCCAGAACCTCCATGCAGATTCACGTGCCTCAGCACAGCCACGGAGGTGACCAGAATTTAGAATGAGAGGGCAGAGTGGACGTTAGGGTTTTAGAACCACATGGGTGTGTTCCCAGAAACCAGGTTCATCGTATTAAGGCTGGCAGAGTCTGGCCCCACTGCTGAAAACCGTAGGCCCGATCAGCTTTTAAACCTCCCTCCGTGGAAAGAGAAATTCCAAAGCTGTTGCTAATGAGGACAGCAGGTGACTACCCCACAGCCCTCCGTGTGGGGGCCTAGCCTGCCTGCCCCAGAAGCCCAGAGAGAGGATGCGCCAATGGTGGCACTTTGGACCTGCTAAATCCAGACGTGGGCTGCAGCACGGATAGAGCAGCCATCGCCAGCAAGGATGCAGGATTGCGGCAGCCCTCCGCAGGACCCGGTCCCAGGGAGCGGGAAGAACAGCAACAAGTAGCCAGGCGTTGAGGGCGGCTGTGGCAGCTGTCCCTTGCTGTCCCTTGCTGCCCTCGGTGCCTTTAATTTTTTTTTTTGAGGCACTGAAGAAACTCCCTGGGTATCCTCACATGGGGTCCTCTGGCGAAGGCTGGAGCCTCCGAGACCCGGCGAGAGCTTTCCCTAGTTCTGCCCAGCGCTGACGATCCCACAACTACTCGACTTCTGCTTCCGCATCTGAAACACAGGACACCTTCAATGTGCTTGTAGAAGGCTTTTTAAAAAATGGATGTATGAAATAAATAAAAGGAGACCTCAACAGCCAGCACTCACGTCCCTGATTGTTCCAGGCCTTTCGGCAGAGCGTGCACCAACGCACGTGTCTCTGTTCCGGTGCATTTTCCCATCACCTCCCAGGGTTACCCGGCAGGGCGCATGAGGACACGCTGCAACCTGATCGTGCAATGAGTATTTTCAAACAAAAGTCAGGTGCCAGAGCACGCTCCCGCTCTTAGCCAGATTTCAAAGCCATCTAAGGAAGCTGTTACATTTTCCTGCCGCCATTGTTTCCTGCTTGATCGCAAGTTAAATGACCTGGTTCCCGCATCTCGTATCTGCTGTGTTGCCTCCCCTTGCACTAAAACACTATAGGATCTTTTTTCCCTTCTTCAGAACGAAGAAAGAAATGTTCCCCCCTGCCCTTGAGTTTGGCTTTCTACAAAGTTAGGTGGGCATGGCAGTGTAATTGCAGGGGGCGCGGGGGTGGGTGCGTGGGGGGGCGCCTGCAACGCTGCTGTGGTCCAGGCGCGCGCACACGGGAAGCCTGTCACTCGGGAAGTCTGTGTTCTGTCTTCCAGGGAGCCTTTACTTTCCGCGGGAGCATGATCGACATGCCGCTGCTGAAGCAGGCCCACAACATTGTCACGCTTGCCACATCCGTCAAGGAAAAATGAGCTGGGAAATGGAGCTCTCCCCAGAATACGCGAGGCAACTGGTGAGTGTGCCAGCTTGCACCCCCGCCCACTCCCCGTGCCATGGGTATTGGTCTCTGCTTGTGTGGCTGTCCTCTTCCTGCCCAGCGACTCCTCGGAAAGTGCACTTTGTCCCTTTGGAGTCCGAGCCTAGGAGTTCCTTCTTAGCAGTGCACTGCAGATAGCACGCGAGATGGGCGATTTCTCGGGGAGCTGAGAGCGGGGTGAGCTGGGCCGTGAGCGCCAGTGAGGTTTTGAACCAAACAGGTCTTTCCCGAAACTACGCCAGAGTCCTCCCTCTACCTTTCTCATGCCAGTGCGTGTTTCCCGCGTTGTTCCTCTGCCCAGCGACTCCAGAGGCTTCGCACAAAATGAAGGCGTCGCGTCTGTTCCTCTGGCCATCTGATGAGACAACAGAGGTGACGCAGGCAGTGTCACCCAGTGTTGGGTTGCCTTACAGAGAGGCCTGCTACAAATAATCTTCCAAAACCAGTTACTGTGAACCTCCCCCCCCCCCAAAATGCACCGTTGATGCCCTTGAACCTGGGCGGACACGAAAGCTCTCATCCGTCCGTCCGTCCGGGGTGAATGTTTTGGGGTCGGCCATTACCATCAATTAAAAAATAAAAGCACACACTCAAGCCCTTGGAGTGTCCCTGGTTATCTCCCAGCTGAGCTGTTCGCCGTTTAGGGCCACGTCCCCCATCAATGTGTGGCCGGCCGGGATGGGATCCTCGGGATCCCCGGGGCCATAAACTTGTAGCGTCCACAGACACACAATGACGACCACGATGCCAGCATCTGGCCCCCCGCGAGATTTGCATCACATTAGCGATGCTGCCACAGGTCATATGGGTGGTGTGCTTAACGGGCTTAGTAAAGCTGTTTTGAAGAGGTTAACCCAGCTTGTAGCAAGGGTAAATAAACATAACAACCGGCCATTGTTCTCTATTCAGCCTGTACCCTTACACTGAAGGGTAAAGGGTATTGAAGCTAGGAGGGATCAACTTGTGCTTGCCAACGGACGCCCATGGCGCCTGAGACACCAACAATCAGAGATTTTGTTTCTGTTCCTCATTAAATCATGCGCTTTTGTGTCGGGACTGCGGACGACCGTTCTTTAAGAAATTAACAGAATGGGAAGTTTTAAATTCTACACCAACCTTTTCATGACCTACACAGCAGCAACGCGCCCACTCTTAGACCAACACCGCGGGGAAGGCTGTTCTGTTTATTTAAATGTGTAAATAGAAAACAGTTGTTTTTCAGTTTCGTTTTTCTCCTCCTCCTACGCCCTTTGGAGTCTATTGCCTGCATGGCCCCTAGCCTGTGCTCCAACCGGGGCCTGCCTGCTTTCGCCTCTTGTCCCACTCCTGCAGGGAGCCCAAGAGGTGAGTCACAGGTTAGGGACAAGGAGAGGCCCCGTCACACGCGGATGGGTCAGGGTCCCACCACTGACAGCCAACCTACACCAACCCCAGGGCAGGGTCGCAGGCAGGTGCAAGGGACGGGATCTGGGCAGGATGGTTCTGGGAAGCCACGTTTCTGAGACGGCAATTAAAACTCCCAACCCTGGGATCCCAGGGCACAGCTCTGAAACTGAGATGGGCCATGCAAGGCTGAGACCCACCTGCCCTTCCTCCATGCAGCCCCCTCCTCGCATGAAGGGCAGGAAGGAGGTGGCCAGCATCCCACTGGCTTCCCATTGAGCCAGGCTTCAGGACCTCGGACAGGGCAAGGGGCAGCGGGCAGCTGTGGCCGGAGGAGCACCCCACACTGGCCTGGCCTGGCCAGCTGGGCGTGCTGGGATGAGATGTGGGCGAGGAAACCCAGCCCACACAGGGGCCACGAGAGATGGGGAGCTGCTCTCTCGTTCAGACCCAGTTCTGCACATACACCTGCAGGGTGTCAGGGATAGCGAGGGCAGGCCCTGCGGGTTCTGCAGCCCAGCTGCACTTACCACCCTTGCTGCTGGTGCAGGTAAACCGTCGGCTTTGAGCGGATTAAGGGTATGCATTCCAGTCTCCACTGCAGTGGCAGGCAGCCCACAAACCCACAGAGGCGGGCTCCCCTTCGAGGGAGCCCCCAAGCTGGGCCGCAGGCACTGTGACCTCAGCAAGGCCGGGTCTCCTGACTCCCATCACCAGCAGGCCCGCGGTTCCTGGGTCCTCACCACTTCGGGCCATTCCATCGTCAACACCCTTATTCCAACCTGAACCATGGTGCTAAGTCTCCCTAGATGTCAGGTTTCTCTCCCTCATAAGCCAGCAGTCCCAGCTAAGGTGCAACCGAACCTGGGACCCACCAGAGCCAGAACTGTGGACCAGGGCTCTGCTGTCGGAATGGAAGCCCGCACAAGGACCCAGGAGCAGACAGAGGTCAGTCAGAGCCCCGCAGTGCCTCACCCTCCAAAGAACAAGACCCCGGCAGGAGGAGACGCTGGGAGACCAAAGGTAGCCCCGCTCTTTTCCCACCCGGATCTCTTCAGCGGCATGGGCTGGTGAAGGGGCCGTGGGGGGGCGGGAGGGCATCCAAGAGTCGAGTGTGCGACCACCACGCCGCTTGCTGGGGAGGCCCAGCTCTGCGCTAGGAACAGACTCCAGAAACAGGACCCGGCAGCGCATCAGATTAATTAAAAACCATACCTGTTTATATTTTCTGTAGCTCATCACCAGCCGCCCCACCGTATCACCCCCCTGTTATTAATTCTTGGGGGCTAAATTACGGGTAACACTATTAAAACATTATCGGAACTAATGAGAAACAATTACTTAGAAAATGAGCCGGGACAAGATTGAGTTGAGAACATCCGCGGTGCTCGCCGTAGATTAGTTGAATAAATCATCAGGTGCAGGACGGACTGTGTGCCCGCAAAACCCCACCACGGGAAAATGAAATTGCGATTTTTTTTTGCATAATTTTTTCATTAATCTCAATAGGACCCGTGTGGAGTAGATTGCTTTATTCCCCTAATACCTTGCCTGGGGGGCGAGGGGGGGATGCCCAGTAATGTCTTCATTGTTTTACTGAGGTCTTAATGACAATCTGTGACAACCTCATTTTAATGTATAGAGGATTATATCAATACAGTCATGTTTTATTGAAATGCCGAGGGGTCTCCAGTGGGAGTCTTCCCTGGGAAGGCCCGGTTTGGATGGTGTGCCATGGCTCTCACCCGCTGTGCCTGGGCAGGGGCTGCCTGGGCCGCCAAGGCCTCGCCACCTGCATTTGAATGTGGAAGGAGCTCCTTGCCTGGCATAGTCTGCAGGGGCAGTAAGGCGGGCGGTTCCCCCCTCTCGGACACACACTCAGCGGTGCCTTAGCACCCAACAGCTCTGCTCCCACAGATGGCCTGGGACCCTGACCGGGTGGGAGAGCCGAGTGGGCCAGGAGGAGAAAGTGTATCCTGGCTTTTTTTCTTTTTCCCGTCGGAAGGACCTGCTGCGTTTGGGTTTCGGTCGGTGCGGGAAGGCCGGATCTGCTGTTTTGGTTTATTTCTTCCTCTGGTAGGAACCAATGGAGGGCGAGAAACGGGCTCTTCCACCGCCGGCAGCACCTGGTACAGATGGGGGGTTTGCAAGTGCAAAGCGCGCGCCTGGCTAGGCGAGGCTTTCCGCTTTCAATCTAGGGGAAAAGTAATTCGCAGACCCCAACACGAAAAAGCCTTAGAAATCCGGGATCCTGGCCTTTCTTTTAACCTGGGGTAGGAGTGGAGGGGGCATCGCTGAGCACGAACACATGGAAAGCAAAGGGCGTTCAGATGCCTGACTTGCTACCTGCAAGACTGTTGCTGCTGGGCTCCAGGAAGCACCCGGCGGCCCGTGTCCTCGCTAGCCAGTAAGGCCCAGGAAGCACACGGGACAGGGCCCGGACCCGCGGGAAGGCCCGTGGGGTCCTCGCGTTGTGCAGTCGGCCCGCCGCCCAACTAGCCCGGGAGCACCAGGGTGATGCCTGCACCGTACGCTCGCTCTGCATTATTTGGATAAAACCTTGCGAGAGTTGTTTGCTACTGCGTCCTTCCCTTGGAAGCAAATGGCTGGGTTTTACGTTTGCTGCTTCCGAGGAGACGGGTCCCCGCGCGCCCCCTGGAAAGCCTGATCTCCCGTCCGCGCGCCTGCCTCACTGCCCGTGGTCGGGGAACCAGCGTGGCCGCAGCTCCTGCCCGTCCAGAGGGCCAGGGGCGCGCGCGGAGCCAGCGCTGGGAGCGCAGCGGCCGCCCGGGCCGGGGCCGGGGGAGGGGAGCCCGGCGGGGCCGCCCGAGCCTGCGAGCCTGGAGCCTGTCGCGCAGCCCGGCTGTAATGGTGGCAGATCAAAGGCCGCCCGTGTCCCCGCGGAGCCCGGGACAATCCCGAGCCTTTGTGCACCGTTGCTAGGAGCCCAAGAAACTAAGGGAAAGTGTCAGGGGCATGTTAATCAGGCTCGTTACAGTGCAACAATAACGTCTCTCTCCGGCCTGCAGGCCCCCGGCGCCCAGGCCGGACACCTGCGTGGGGGCCCTCGCGGCCGGCCGGGGTCCCTGCAGCCCCGGGTCCGAGGCGCATGCCCCGGGCCCGAGGCCCTCCCCGGCCCAGCTCCGGATGCCCAGGCTTCAGGTGGGGGTGCCCGTGTCACTCAGCCGGGGCTTCTGAATCCTGAGGAAAATGAAACCCACTTCCCACAGCTCTGCAGGCTTTATCAGGGGCCGGATGGATCCCGCTTCCCCGGCTACGGAGGGTGCGCCACCGCTGGCGATGGAAACAAGGGAACAGTGCACGGAGCTGCGATTTTTTTTTTTTTTTTTTTTTGAGGGAGCCACGTCATTCATTCGATCAGTCATTCAGCAAACACCTGTTGGCAGGATGTGCCCGAGCGTGGCTCTGTGGGAGCCAAAGAGGCGCGAAGGCGTCCAAACACGGGCAAGCGGTGAAGCCCAAAGAGACGCTCCGCGGCAGAGGGGAGAATAGCGAGAGGTGCAGGTTCCGAATTGAAAACCGACCTGCTTGCAAGCCAGCCCGCTTCTTCCGCGTCTCCCCTCCCCTCCCCTCCAGTGGGCGAGGGCTTCCCAGCGCCTCGCAGCCAGGCCGAGGAGGCGCCGGGTGCTGCCTGCCTTGGCGGGGCTCCGTGAGCTGGAGCGCTGGGTCGTGGCTTAGGCAGAACCCGGCCACTTTCAGGTCCCTTTCTCTCTCTCGGAGGAGCTCTTGTTGAAGAACCAAACCAAACCAGAAGGGCTGGCGGAAACCCAGAGTAGGGAGAAACAAACAAATTCATGGGTTTCTGAAAAATACACCAAAAATCATCTTTTAATTCTGCTTCCCAGGAACTCTGTGTGAGTGCCGGAGTCCTGGGAGGAGAAGGCGCCTCCGGTCACCTGTGCCTGCCTGTGCCCCCCCAGGGGGTGGGGGTGGGGACTGGGCACAAGGCTGGCTTTGCAGGGGACTGGGCACAAGGCTGTCTTTGCGGGCAACAGGGAAGCAGGCAGGATGCTGCCCTGCTCCCCGAGTCTTAGATTCGTCTGGAAGGAACTTTCGAGAACCCTTTCATTACTTCAGGGAGGGAGTCAACAGACGGAAAACAACGCCCGTTTTAAAAGCAAGGCCGAGCCGACACCATGTCACGATGTTAGGGTATTTGGCTAGCGGCAGGCGCGGGGATGGTCCCATCCCACGCGGGAGCGCCTCGGTGCCGGTCCTGGCTCTGCTCTCACTACAGCACATCCTGAGAGGTAGCGGCAGTGATGCCTCAAGTAGCCGGCGCTCTGCCACCGGGTGGAACTGGACTGCGTTGCCGGTTCCTGGCTTCAGCCTGGCCCAGCCCTGGCTGTTGCAGGCATTTGGAAAGTGAACCGACACATGAAGATGTCTTTCTGTCTCTCTACCTTGCACATAAAATGAAAATAAATAGCTGGATTGAAAAGAATTTAAATGTATCTGGCCGTGGAGTGGGCACTGTGGTGCAACACGTTAGCTGCTTGGGATGCCTGCATCCCATAACCGAGTGCTGGTTCGAGTGCTGGCTACTCTGTTTCAGATCCGGCTTCCAGCTGATGATTCCAGGGAGGCAGGCCATGATGGCCCAAGTGCTTCCGGGGAGCCCTGGGTAGAGTGCAGGGCTCTTGACTTCCGCC